TGATGATGATGATGATGATGATGATGATGATGATGATGATGATGATGATGATGATGATGATGATGATGATGATGATGATGATGATGATGATCTTACTCATAATAAAATTATAATAATAATAATGGTATTCATAATCCTAATTATATCAATCATAATAATCATAAACTAATTGCATTTGTATAGTGCTCTATCCCATACAGGTATAACGCCTGGACGCAAATCGGCGATCAGATCTTTGAAACTGAAATCGCTGTCAAGGTATGCAGAATACATCTGAGGTTTGAGCTTTTCGTATATTATGTTGGTGTCATTTTCTGTTCCAAATCCCACCACAAGTCTTTGACAGTTTTTCTTGTAGTTTTTTTTCGTTTTGTTTTGTTCAACGTCCCTTTTTCGGGTAGCATGTTAGTGATCTTATAGGTATCAGACAATCATTGTCAGTCAGTACGAGAATTTAGGTAAGTACAGTGATATTATTTCAACATGAAGATCGAACAATAGCAGAATATGAAGAGTCTTTGACATTTGTTTAAGCTGGACCTGAAGTGGAAAGAATCTCCCTAAGCCCCAAGGCTATTATTTTCTTCTAGTGATGATGACAAAATGTTGCATTATGGTTGTAAAAACATCATGCAAAATTTGAATCCCAGGAGTAGAAAAAATGTTTCAGCCTTAGTACATTTAGTATCAAAATGTTACGAAATGAGACAATCTAGAGTATCCGAGAAAAGAGAGTTGAAAAAATTGCGACCTTCACAAAATAGTCCTCTTAATAATAATAGATTGCATATATATAGCGCATATCCACTTATGCAATGCTCTATGCGCTTAACATGATACATATTATGGATTTACAAATGTTGCTTGCCCAGGAATGATGATTCTGTTCTTTCTTATCCTTTACTATTAGTACAAGGCCTACCATCAGTTACACTGAAGACATTTATAAGAGCAAATCTTTTTACTTAATATTATGACAAATTAAAAGAGCTCAATTTCAGTAGCACCTTCTCAGACTTAACCCAAACACAAAACTCCAAGACACCATGAAGACAGCAGTGGTACACTCTGTAATATTAGAATCTACATTAGTCTGGTCGAGTGGAAGTATTTTTTATGTGTTTGTGTACGCATGTATGTTTGTGTTTGGGGGTGTTTGTGTGTGTGTGTGTGTGTTGGGATTTGTTTTGTTGTTACGTTTTGTTTGGTTTTGTTTTTGTGTTTATATTACAACATTCGTGTGTGGAATTGTGTGTGGGTGTGTGTATGTGGGTTTGAGTTTGTTTGAGTGCGTGTGCATATTATAAGAATGAATGAGTGTGTGTGTGTGTGTGTGTGTGTGTGTGTGTGTGTGTGTGTGTGTGTGTGTGTGTGTGTGTTTGCATGTGTGTGTTTGTGTATACATGTGTGTTTGTGTACGTGTGTATGTAGCGTAGTATGTTTGAATATGTGTGAATGTATATGTGATTGTGTCTGATACATATGAGTAAAGTGACATGTATAGATACTCTTGTGATCAGCGACTATTGTTAGTTAAGATGCATGAATCAAAGCGGCCATCAAACTTCTTGCCCTTCGTCAATGAGATACCACAGTGCAGTGCATGAACGTATGACATTCTTCTAATGTTCAGTCGTCCAATGCATTTTCTAAGTCCCGTTTTCCCAGTCAATTTTGTTGTAGTTGTTCTTATTTTTGTTTGTTGTTGTTGTTGTTGTTGTTGTTGTTGTTGTTGCTGTTCTCGTAGTTGTTGTGGTTATATAAAATAAAACCGAGTAGATATTCAATATGCTTCAGTGGTTTAAATGATACGTTTTGTGATGATTTCATAGCCGGTATTTTTCAAAACTGTTTTCATGTATAATACTCATCGTCGCTGTCACAAACAATCCACGTAAGCCTAAATTTTGAGAATTTTCGATTCTTGCACTCTCTTAAAGTTGTATCAAGGATGCACCTTTCGAGCCCCTAAATTATGTTTAATGCTATGGTCGAGGATTACAATTCTCTTGCTTTTCATAATTCCTGATAGAAAACAGCTACAAAATTATCTAGTTTTTTTGTGTTGTTGTTGGGTTTTTTTTACTCTCTGGTATTAAATTTACCCAAAGGGACTTTAGTGGATTGCTTGCTACACCGACGCCAAGCTTTACAGGACTTATAAATAAACATGGTGGTTTATAACAGTACCAAATTCTCTTCTTCCAATCACTTTCAACGTTACAATTTTTGTGTTTATTTTAATTCTTCTTTTTTGGGGGGCAATCTGAGGCCTCTTCAAACACTAGCTCAGGTGTTCTAATCAGTACGATAAATCATTGTTCTTACAGGAACTGCTATTTCGCCTTTTGTTGTTGCTGTTGTTGTTGCTGTTGTTGTTGCTGTTGTTGTTGCTGTTGTTGTTGCTGTCATAGTTGCTGTTGTTGCTATTGTTGTTGGTGGTGGTGTTTTTTCTCTGTAACTTAAAACGTAACCTACCGAGGAACCGGGGCTGTTGTATTGCGGTCAGGCACTTCGCCGCTTCATACAGAAGACTTGAGTTCGGTTTCCCTGTGGGGAGAATTTAATCGAATACCTCAGTCTGTATGCTGAAGTGATGTATCTCTCTCGGCCTGGGATGTCCCTGACAGACAATGTCGAAGTCAGTTTTTTAAATTGTATAATGTGTGTCGATATGGGCTAATAAATGACATTTATATAGCGCTCAACCCCGAATAAAGTACACAGGCTCTGAGCGCTTTACAATACAGTACAACATACAGCAGTAACATACAACGTTTTGTTCTGACTAAAGAAAATTATTCAAAATATTCATCTTAG